CTACCAGAAGCCATTTTTTCCCTAAAATGAGGAATGTGGAGCATCATGTGAAGTTAAACTTTGGCTCTGGTTTGATAAATAAGGAAATCTTTTAGCAGCAGCATCAAATTGGGCAGCAGGTCAAAGTGGGCTCAGGTTGCTGATTGGTGGAGCTGGTTGTGTGATGAGATCATTCTCTTAATATTACAACTTTATTCTCGTAATATTACGACTTTATTCTCAAAATAAAAAAAAAAACTCCAACACTATATATATCTGTTTAATATGTGATTAACAAATAAATGTATAATCTAATGACTGGTTGAACATGTGTTGTTGTTGGATAACACGGCTAATGATGTAGATTATTTTTGTAGTTGTTATTTTTCGTTTAAACACGGTTAAAACTCGGAGGAGCCTCTCCTGTCTGCGGATCATTATCAGATTATTGATGAAGAGTCGCTTGAAGGCTCTGATGAGATCTGACGTCACGCCCTAGCCCCGCGGTCTCCATGTTTTCTCCCCGGCTGGGAGCGTTTTTTGTTTTTTTTACATGGTGACAGCAGCTCCAATATCGCACTAGCTTGACTCGGTTCACCCGAAACGCATCGGTATGTCCGCCGACAGCTCCCCAGGAGTGCTGAATCACACCCAGTCAGCTTTTTCCCTCTCCTCTCAGCTCAGCCTCGGTCCGTTGGACGTCATTCTCCTTTCATTTTGTCGGTGACAAACACTCGGCCGCTTTCTTATCACAGCGGACCGAGTAGCTTCCCACAGGAAGCCCCAATAAGTTATTTAAACTCTTTAGAAGTTAAATTAAACGGATAATTTGGGTATTTGTAGTTTTACCTTGCCTAGTCTCCTGGTCGAAGTCATTGTGGTGCCGAGTTCGTCTTCTTCCTGTTTCTTTCCGTGACTCCGACTTCTTTGGACTTCAGTTTGAAGCGGCAGAGAAGGCGGTGTCCCAATGCTGCAACGCCCCCTATCGGCCCGGAGGAATGTGGTCGCTGGGCGCAAATAAACACCATGCAAACGAAACATAAAAAAGGCGTGGACATTTAATCAGAAACGTTTGATAAACACCCAGATAAAATATTCAAACATTTAAACTGTTCGATTTAATTTATCCTACTACCAAATACACTGTGAAATATATTGATAAATAGATCCTAACTGTGAATTTTGCAAAGAGCCTTCAGAAACATTTAGTAATTAATTCCAGAATAGCCATATCACAACATTTTAAATAATATATAATAACTTTATAATGTGTAACGTTGACACCAAATTTTCCCTAAGGTTTAACAATGGTATTTTTGTTTTGTTTTGTTTGCCAGTGCAAGCAGAAGAATTGCAATCATTCTAATTATTGACAAATTTCGTAAAATTTAAGTTATAGAAGTCAATTAATGTAAAGATCATTTAATTTACTGTCAGTGTAATAACTATCTATAGATATTATCAAACAGTGAGCAGGGATATTTTTATGTTCTTGTTCTGGAAACACCTTTTGAGATTCCCATTTCAATTCTCCTTAACAAGGTGCTTTTTCATGTTTGTTTGTGTCCTCCTGTTACTTTAGACCAGGGGTGCCCAAGTCCAGTCCTCAAGAGCTACCATCCTGTAACTTTTATATGCTTCTCTTCTCTAGCACACCTGAATCTAAAGCCTCAATCCCCCCATTTAGCTCATCAGAGGCATGGTAACGAACCACTCATTTGATTCAGGTGTGTTAAAAATGGTTGCATGAAATACTTGCAGGATAGTAGCTCTTGAGGACTGGACTTGAGCACCCCTGCTTTAGACAAATGAAACAAGTATGATGTGAGTTGTAGCAAAGTCTTTAGTCCCAGCAGCAAAAAATATACCAGCAGGTATATTTTATTTCGCAAAAAATAACAGATATCTTTTTTCAAATATCTAGTAGAGATTTTAGTCTTCACTAAGAATGGTTAGACAGTTTAAAATGTTAATTTTTAATTGTGTTGATTTTGTTTTATTGATGATGTAATTGCAATCATTAAAAGTGAACTAGTCTGGATGATTGGTTTAAAGATTGATATTGCTTGGGTCAGTGTGTAGGTTTGTAAGATTTTTATCGTATAATTGAGTAGTAACTATATTACCAGATCTATGTTGGTTGTGGTGTATATGAAATACTGTGTCTTAGTCATACGAACCTTATCTTTTTTACGGTACAAATTCTAATGCAGTACAACATAATGCACTTTTACTGCTATGTTTGTACTTATTTTTTTTTCTTCTTCATTTAAATAGAGCCAAACATAATCTGTACACCACTGCTCAAAGTTTAAGTGGGTGTTTCTGTTCTGACCCTCGCCCAGAAGTTGTTTTGAACATGTTTGTGTAAGTTAAATATTCTGGATCTTATATATGAGTATATTTCTGTAACGAATGTTGAAACTCTCAGTTTCAGAGGCTTGTAAATTTTTTATTGCATATTTATAAAGTGCAATTCCAGTTATAGGAATTAAACTTCCCTTCCCTTTCTTCTGCATTGCAGCATGAAGGTTTTGGGTACGATATCCAGCCTTTCTGCATGGAGTTTGCATGTTCTCCCTTAGCATGCGTGGGTCCTCTCCGGGTACTCCATCTTCCTCCCACAGGCCAAAAACATGACTGTTAAGTTAGTCTCTGTGTTTCCCTGGGATAGACAGGTTGCCCTACTATAGACTGGCGACCTGTCCAGGGTAGACCCCGCCTCTCGCCCATAGACAGCTGGAGCACCAGCACCCCTCATGACCCCAACTGGGATTAAGCGTGACAGAAAATGGATGGATGATTT